CCACCAGCAATGTCGATACCGCTGTTGTAATAATGGTTGCTGCCGCTGCTGCTGCTAACGTTATTGTTCATATTATTATTGTTGTTTTCGGTACTTTCATTCGCCGCTGTCCGACGCTTTGGGCAGGTCGCTGGGACCGCAATCGCAGGCGTCGTACGCGCGTAAAAACAGCGCTCGTCATGGAATAAGAAGAAGCGCAGGTCATCCTCGTGTATGTAGTGGCCACCCAATAGGACCTTCTCATGGACGACGCTGAAGGGCACCGTGGAGGCCACATTGTCGTCGTCCTCCGCTGCACTTGTTGCCGTGGCCTCAGTGTCAATAGGCGGGGACGCGGCACTTTGCATCAGAGCCTCCGTCACACGCTGCCGCCAGTAAGAAAGCAGCAGCGCCTGTCCGTGGGGCGAGAAGGGACGCGATATCGCCCCACCACGTCTGCCGCACGCCGCCTCACACCCACACAGTCGCTGACGCATTTCCGTCAGAGCATACGCGACATCCAACATGAAGACGGCGACGCCCTTCTGCTGAAACATCGGCAGTGTGAGTATGCAGGAAAGGCAGTGGTCCGGGCGGTGTTTGATGCGGCTGAAGTAACCAACAACGACGTCGCCGTCCCAGTGCACCGCGTCAAAGCTGGCCGCCTCACGCCGAAAAGTCGTTTCCTCCATCTCTCCAAGAACATACGGCAACGACGCCCGCGGTGCGGTGACAACGAAGAATTCGTAAATGTCAACATCGCTCCCCAGCTGCTTGCTCTCGATGAACGCCTTGCCGAGGAGCGACAAGCAGCGACCGTAGTGCAGATGTTTGGCTCCGTCGACGTAATAGACACGCCGGCCGCAGTCCTTGTCGTTGTAGAGAAGAATGCCGGGTGGGCGGCGAAATCGGCAGTAGCCACCGACAAGATGTTCACGTAAGTGTCGCTGGGAGACAAAGGGCGACATGCAGCGGTGACACACCGAGACGGAGTAGCACAGTTGGCGCTCCGGCATCTGCATGTACTGCAGTGAAGCAAATGGGCTCTGAAACCACGGCCGTGTCGCGTAGCAGAGATACAGCACCTCACATGGGGAGTTGTCTTGTTCCATCGCCATGCGCCACTCCCGCTGCACCGGCAACAACGCCTTCTCGTCGATTTTATACAAAAATATCTCGTCGTACCAGCCGTCAAAGGTGTATTTAAATCCCCCAGCGGAGTTGAGGGCGTGTGTGCCTACAGAAAGCTCTTCTCTTCTCTCACGGCGCGGATGCGCGAGCCCACCACTCCGCTC